TTTTTTGGTACGAGGGATTGAACTCGGGTCCTTGCGCTTGAGCAGCAGGTGGCAAGACCACTGAGCTAAATCCCCGGCCCAAAGATTTTTGAAAATGCAGCTTTGTGGTGAAACTAAGTTGGTGTAGGGATCTGAGTTTTTTGTTGTTGTTATTTGACAAGAAACGAATCTGAAAATAAGGAGGAAAAATTAATAACATATTAAATGGAAATTGGACATGGTGGTGCATGCCTGTAATCCCAGCACTCGGTAGGGTGAGGCAGGATTGTCGCAAGGCCAGCCTAAAGTATATAGCCAGACCACGTCTCAAACAAAAAAAGGAAAATAATGAAAAAACCCCACAGTTTAATGTCATTTAAAATAGTTACACATATGCATATGTGAACACGAATGTGTGTGCATATGTGTTTAGGATAAAGGATGCAGCACATCTTTTATTATTTATTCATTTATTTTGTACCAGGGATCGAACTCGGGTCCTTGCGCTCGTGCAGCAGGCGGCGAAACCACCAAGCTAAATCCCCAGCCCCAGCACATTTTTTAAGACATGAACACTCTCTGAAAGTGGGAATACAAGAGACCTTTTCATTTCCTTTCTGCTTACCTGTCTTTTGCCTTTCCTACATTTCCCACATTCAGTTGTGATTCTTTCTCTCACACCATCCACAACCCACTAGTTAATCCTTTCTGCCTACACTTAGCATTCTGCTCTGGGCCAGTTCCTGGGCACCTCCAGTTGACCTCCCTCTTCAATCCAGCCTCCCCTGCCCGGGCAGGTCTCCTTTAACCCAGAAGCTTGAGTGGCCCTTTAACAGGTGTCAGGCCACAGTCCTGCCACAGCTCCCTGTTACTCAGAGGAGCACACAGCGGCTGTTGCTCTGTCCAGAAGCCCCCACCAGAAGGCAGCGGCAGACTCACCTCAGTCTGCACCATCCCATACCTCTGTAGCCGCATGCAGCGCACCAGGTCGGAGATGTCGAACTGCGGGAGGAGAGAGTGTGTCTTAGACAGGACGACTGTGTCTGAACCCAAGACGCTCCCAGACAGACAGACAGACAGACAGAAAGACAGCTTGTGTAGAGCCCAGAGCCCTGCAACGTTGCTTCTCTGTTTTGGGAAATTGTCTTAGAAAGTGACTTGGTGAATGGACTTTGTCATCATTTATGATTTCTGTAGGAATTACAGCAGGTTGTTCTATTTGAGAATCTTCAACAGAAATTCTCTTCCCCAGAAATGTTTAATTTCTTATAATTTAAAAAGCAATATAAACTATTTTCTTACAGATTGTTTTTCAGAGTAAAACTAGAGTTGTAAATTTTGGCTGACATTTAAAAGCTGGAAACAAGGGAGAAATGGACTATTTGGTTTTGTCCTAGTTAAATTATGATAGCAGATATAGTATTTATGATAGTAGATAGTAGCATTTGAGGTGTAAGAACTGCTTTTTACTGAAATCCTTTATTTACACATTATATGTGGCATTATATTCCACTGAAATATAGTAGGATATTCCAGCAAGCTAGATGGATAGATATTCTGGCATTTCTTGGTCTAGTAATAATTTTTTTAAATTGGGAGTGACTGTTTAGAGATGGACTTCTTAGCACTAACTTATATAACAAAATATATATTCCCCACCCATACGTAACAACAGCAACTGCAAAAAATCAAGATCTTTCCTTCCAAAAATGCATTTTCTTTATTTGTGACTTTTTCTATAGGGTGGAAACAATACTGACATCTCATACAAGCCTAAGATGACAAGGGTCAACATACCATACTGCACAAGGGGCTTTATTAAAGAGTTTGGCATCATCGCCACCTCCGGCCACTCTTGCGCTCGTCGCCTGTCTTGTACTTACTTCTAGATCCTGACTGATCAGTCCGAGGACCACATCTATGCATATCAGGGTCCCTGAGCGCCCAATGCCAGCGCTGCAGTGTGTGGTGACAGGGCCCGACTTGTGGACGTGCCTCATGTAGGAGATGAAGGTGAGCAGGGCGTCTGGCTGAGAAGGTGTGTCATGGTCAGGCCAGGCAGTGAAATTCAGGTGGAAGATATGTCGAACCTCTCCTGTCTGAAAGTTGTAAAACAGTAAGTACGCTGTGTTACATACTGTTCATCTATAATTAGTTTTTAATATTTTGTCCTTTCAAGTTTTTTTTTGGTGGGACTGGGGATTGAATGCAAGGCCTTTGGACTGAGGGACATCCTGGTCCTCCTTTTAAAATACACTTTTTATTGTGAGAGAGGGTCTTAAGTTGCTTAGTTGCACAAGCTGGGCTTGAACTTGAGACTCTTCTGTTTGGCCACCCAGAGTGCTGGGCTTGAAGGTGTGCATTACCACACCCAGCTTGCTCTTTCAAATTTTGATTTGTATATTGGACCAGATCAAAAGAGAAGAAGAGACAAAATGTCTCTGAGACACACATGGGGAACCTTACCAAGGGGGCCACTAGACCCACATTTTCTGTGCGTGTGGTGCACCAGCAAGACTCAGGGCTGTTGTGTGCAAAGCAAGTGCTCCACCACCAAGCTGCACCTTGGCTCGGGGTCAGTCTCAGGGACACTTGCTCTTTCTGAAGGGAATGCTGTCCCCAGCTGTCCCTCCACTCCTCACAGTTCTTCTCAGATGCTGCCCCTCAGGGTGCCCTGACACTGCTGAGAACTGCAGTGTGTGGCTCCTTGCCACAATCATTTGTCCCTCTATACTTTACATTTCCCATAGCACCAGCAGCTCCCACTGGGAAGCAGAGTCCATGTCTGTGTCATTCCCTGCTGCACCCCAGATCCCAACCAGTCCAAGGCAGAGCTCTGTGAACACAGCGCATCCAGTGATCAGCTCCCTGAGGGATGCTGAACTACTGTGCTCACTGAGTGATGGGTGAGCTAACGTGAGTAGAGAGACACCCATGGGCTGAAACAGTACTGGTACCCAGCAATATGCATACTTTTTATGTGTCCAAAACATTTAAAACAGGCCCAGGGATTTAGCTCAGTGGTGCCACCACCTGCCTCGTAAGCGCAAGGTCTCGAGTTCAATCCCCGGTACCAAAACCAAAATATATTTAAAACATCAAAAAAAGGTGTAACTTTAATTCTTAATGAAGTAAATTCTAGTGGAAATTATTAGGCTCCATTTATATGGCACTAACAGAACTGAATTCGTATGCTGTGTTATGGTTTGGGTTTGGATGTCCCTTTAAAGCCTCATTTGGTCAGAGGTGGCTGAATCTGGAATGTGTGATGCTGGGATTAAGGGCATGTGATCACTACACATGAGTGAGTAGTTTAGCACCACCCTAATTCCTAGTCTGGATGGGATAAAAGGCAGAAAGACACATGAAGCTCTCCCTTGTTGCCTTTGTTATTGTGTGTGTGCCATGTTGCTTCTCCTCTTCGATGTTTGTTTTTTATTCCTGCCTTGGAGCCAGCCAATTATGGATTGAAACCTCTACAAACTGTAAGCCAAATAAACCTATTCTCCCTAACTTTGGGTGTCGGGTCTTTTGTCTCAGCAATGAGAGAAAAGTAACTAACACATTGTGCTTCTGTGAAAGTTCACGCTCTGGGTTTCAATGAACCCTCCAGCAGGGGTCCTGTGCCACTGCTCACTCAGGTGACTGGGGAGGGGGGAACAAGTGGCTTCACCTAGGGACAGCACTTACCTCATTCAGGCTAAGCTACTCAGAGTTACATGGCTGCAGGAAGAATCACCCACATGGTAACTGTTTATGCTACAATTGTCCACATTTCCTAAAAATCCTAGCCACCTTTAGGGGAGATATTTTGTACTCACATTTTTATAAAACAAGGTCAATGAGCCCACTTAGATGTTTGACCTTTAAAAAGTACGTAACTTTCTATCCTGCAGCTTCTGAGCCATTTTGTGCTGTCACTGAGCCACGGATGACAAATGATCACACAAAAGGTTCTGTTTTCTTTTCATTTTCCTATAGCAAGTAACTCATAAATACATTTAAAATTTACTTGGTAAGAAAAAAAAGTTCTACCACACTGGAAACCAGGATAGTGGCTTTATTTAGAAACCCAGATTCAACTGTAGAGAGGCCTGGTTTCCAAGGAGGAGCCAGCCTCGGCACTCACCCGAATGTCTTCCAACGTCAGTGCCCGCACCACAAAGCCCTTCAGGTGCTGCATCTTCTCCAGAGCCAGGCGCAGCCTGTCATTGGCCATTGTCGTTTTGCCTAGGAGGTTAGGCCAGTAGCGCTGGCATTTGATTTTTTCTCCTTCTACTTCTTGTGTCATCATGGCTATCACTGTGGATTTTTGTTCCCAAATCATCTGCCAGAAATCTCCAACAGTTGTGGGGAGAGGCCCCTGGCAAGCAATGTAAACAAACTCCTCCTTGCCCACTGGAATCTTGATGAAGCTGGCGTTGATGTAGCCCCCATCATCTCCCAGAGGCACCCTGGTAGCGTCATCTGTGAAGTTGCCACCACGAAACCATCAATACTATGCACTGCTGAATAAGAGGCTTACAACAGCATGAGGCAAAGGTCAAAGGAAATCCCTATCACCACAGATACAATGGCAAACATACTTTAAAAGCCGATTATCAAATTTCTGCACAGTTAAATTATATTTATTTCTTTTACTCATGTTACAGGTATATCTATGATGCTAGTATATATGAAATTTAGTATTTATTATCTATATAGATTTGGTTTAAGAAATGAAAGTTAATAAACACATTTAGAACTTCAAAATAAGTAACTAGAGAAAAAGGCAAAAACAATTTTGCTACTTCTACTCCAATATTTTAATGCTGATGACAATAATAATAGCACTGAATGACAATGTCACTTTTCATAGAACAAAAATCAATATTCCCACAACACCATGAAGTAGTTACTGCAACTATTACTGGCATAATTAACTCTTGTTTGCCTTGCCTTGTCTAATTGTAATTATACAGGATATAATAGAATATAATTTAATAAACAAAAGTACGAAAAGTACGTGAGCTCTTTTACTAAAGTCATGTCAATGGTTTATTCTAGAGAATAAATTTGCATATATATACATTAAAATCAGTTTTGTTTCAATATCTACCAAATAAATTAAAAATTCCTTTTAAAATTAAAAAAAAATTTCTGTGTGCGTGTTTTTGAGACAGGGTTTCACTATATGATTCAGGCTGGCCATGAACTCAAGGAAATCCTCCTGACTCAGCCTCCTGAGTGATGGGATTATAGGCATGTGACACCATACCTACCCATAAAATCTTCCATCAGGTTTCAAAAAACACCCATCAACTGTCCTTTATTACTTGATTTCTATCTCTTAGTCTGGGTTGTTTAGTTCATGGAATCTAGACCACACATTAGTTTTGTTTTTATGGTTTAATCTCATTCACATTTTGCAATACTCAATTGGTCATCTTTTTGCCTTAAAATAATTCCAATGTACTTTATGCCAAACCATTTAAAAAATGTTGTCTAAGAATTGTTTCTTGTAAGAAGCTTTCCAGAGTGAACTTTTGTCTTCCTTTCTGGCTGACAAAATTCAATTGTATTGTTATTATTATATGATTTGTTACTATTGGGATCAGTGTATCATACACATTATAATCCAAGGTTATAAAAGTTTGGCTGACAATAACCGTAAGAAGTTGCTAGAGCTTTTTCCTTCGTGGTCCTGGGGAACAAGTCTAGTGCTTAGCTCATGCTAGGCAAGTGCTCTACTTCTGAGCCATATCCCTACATCTTAAGACTTTATTTTTTTTTTCCCATTAAGTTTATTGGTACATTTTAGTTATAAAATACAGTTACATTTATCACTGGGATCTTGTACCATTACATGAGTATCTTGGTTCTTATTTTTTCCCCTTCCCCTGCCCTCCCTTCACCCCCTCCACCCTTCCATATTTGCAAAGACTTTGTTTCCATTTTTTTCCTTTTCTCATATTTTTTCTTTTCC